TGGCAAGCGAATCCCTGTAAAAAAAACTAAACCCTTTCATATCTATATGTCCCCCCGTCTTTCGATGTGGGGATGCTTCCCGACCATTGCTCGGCGTTCAGGGGCTCGCTCTCTTCCTTCCGCCGGGTCTAAGGCGCGAGTCAGGCCCCCCGGCCCATTGGGCTTGATGGGGCTTGCACAGAAACAGTACACGCTCGCTCGCTGTCTCTCTCTCGCCAGGGCTTGGGGACGAGTCAACGTCCCCGGGCCGAAAGGCCCACCCAATAGCATTTATTGGGCCACGGGGAGTGAGAAACGAGTACGGGTCATCATGAAGGCTATAGCCTAAAGACTGCGATACCGAACACGATGACCACATACTCTCACAGACAACATGCACAGGGACTCACATCGATTCCCCTGCCAAAAGTCATCGAAGAAAGATTTTAGCCTACCAGTGTTTGGCAGGAATGATTTGTTCCCCCATAAATTTCGGCAGCACTACATAGGGAGAATGTTTCAAACAACGAAGCAACAAGCATAATGTAACCTCACTTTAATCCCCCTTGTCTCTGCCTTTTGCGTGGGCAAACGACCCGAGATTGTACAGCATATGTTCTTGTGGTGCACGTACAGTCATTTGATCGGATCAGGAGGATCCTCTCTAAAGAAGACGAAGTATCACGAAAACCTCACAAGTATGAACAACAAAGGCATGGGATGAAGGGACTTCCCCCTGATCCACAGGAAGGACTAACGCAATGGATGTTCCCCTTGCTCAAGGGGCAGTGCCCCATCTTAAGCACATAGGTCGTAAATTAAATCGGCGGGAACATCCATATGCCCTCATGCTTCAAACTGTGTCACATATGCCATAACAATGACTACTTGCTGACTTGCCCTCTTTGACGTTGTGAACCAAGGACACAGCGCTACATACAAGCCCTACAGAGCTAACATGTGTGCGAGAATCCGAAGAGGGTGTAGCAGTGGGACGTAACTCCCCCTATGAAATACACTCTCGGCGGAGTAGTTGTCCAAATGTTTTGGGCAAAACACTGCTTGAGGTTGAATGCCCCCTTACAACATGCGCTTGATTGAGCATCTTCGTCCCCCCTTGATCAGTTCAGGAAACAAGGATACAACGGATGATACAGGGAACTCTCTCTCTCTCTCTCTGCCAGGTAGGGGAGCTCGGGAAGCGTCCGGTCCCAAGCCCCCGCGCGCTCTATCTCGCCCTCTCTGTTTGCTCGCTTGCTTGCTTGCTTGCTTGTTTGTTTGCTTTGTCTCGAGGTATGTACGCACGTATGTGCAAAACTACATCACGCAGAACCACAGCAGCCCACTCACACGCCTCCTAGGTCCTACGAATCGCACGCGAAGTCAGTGACAAACTTAGAATTCACCATGAAACTCGCAACACAGTAACCGCTAAACCCTAAGCAGCCATAAGGCTTATTGGCACTTGCCCCCATTCTCGTAAGAGCTCGCTCAGGTGCTGGCCGGCCCGCACAGAAGCGCCCAATGTCATTACGGTGGTCTCACCCACTTCCGTAGCCATCAAGAGGCCCTGCAAGACGTGCACGACCACTGTCGAGCTCTGGTGCTCACGGGCCCTTCTCCATAGCCGCACCTCGCGCCAGCGTGAGCCCGAGGCCAGAGCACTCGCGGCAGCATTTAAGGCCACGGTGTCAGGCCTTGTGGTCGAACCTCACGGCTTTGAGGCTGTAGAGGTTCTCGATTTCAGGATTTCACTCTTCCTCACTGCCCCGTTGCTTTGGCCAGACCCTCCCCGAGGCGGGTTCTGTGGTCCTCTATTCCAAAGCGCTCGTTTTCAATATTACATCTGAAAGTGCAATTCGATGGCCTCGAACCAGCTCCAGGCAGATTCGCCAGGCATGTCCGCGCTGACCTCGGCTGTGTGTTGTATCGTCGTTCATTCAGGCTGCAGTTTGGCATTTGCATCTGCAAAACGTCGAACAGAAGACGGGGCCTCATGCTCAAGAATACATGACAGATAGCGGAGTTCCCACCAGCGACAACAGACCGCACACATCAGGCACTGCATTCCAAAAGTTGAGAGCGAGCGAGCTAGTGAATCCTACAAAAGTCCTACAGACAAGAAATGTCGGGTCTTTGGGTGTGAGCTGATGTTCATGTCACGGCACGTACCACGTACGTGGGATTGCAGAGGGATCTCCTCCCCTCGAGCTCAGCAAGCAAAGGATCACAATCTAGGGCCCTGGGGAACTGCCTTAATGCTAAGAGCAATTGGAGCTTGGAGCCCGCAGCCACCGCCGCGTTGAGCGCCAAGTCCGTCGGGTGATGGATGAGAGACCTGAGAAGTCAGATCTCGCCCTAATGGCCCCAATCCGTCGCTCAAGACTACACTGGGCCGGCCGGATTTTCGCGCCGCCATCGGCCTGTGTCAACAGAAACAAAGGGGGTTCTGCGGCGCAGCTTCGCGAAGCTTCCATCTGCACATTAAACCGAACATCATGCCCTGAAGCATCGCCAGCTGGACTTGTGCGCTGCAGCCTGCTTCACAAGTGGTAATTAAAATCGGTGTTGAAATCTTCATATTGCCATAGCAACACTAAAACAGAAAGAAGTTTACAATGGCGGGAGATTCGGTGTCCTCGCATGATAACGGTAAAGTCTTTGGTATGGTGATAATGAACGACAGTGACGATAGTGAGCCGGTGATACCCTACTCAGCAAGGCAATAGTCTTGTCAGACTATCATTCTGCTTCCCGTTTGCCGACAGTTAGCCTTATTACTAGGACCAGGAGCCGCATGTGAAGCTCTGCAATCTTGTGCCCGGCACAAGTGTAGCACACGCTGCTACGGATTCACTGCCACGTTCACTTGGTTCTGCCGGGGTCGTGTTACTCACGAGGAATACACCGCTCTGGCAAACGACTGCAACCAGAAACAAGGCCAATATAGTCCAAATAAAGGGGCCAAAAACGAAATGCAACTAGATGGTTAGAGTCGAGGGTCAACCTAATACAGCAAGCTTGAGCTGGTGGTGTTGCGATTGAACATGACAGCACCAACTGGCGGATTGTACAGGACCTGAGGCCGTCCTTGCTGCCTATTCAGGGGCGAGTGCCTCATGCATGCGTGGTTGAGTGGGCAAAGTGAACGAGCAAAGTAGCGAGAGTGAGTAGAGATAAGTGCATTAAAGCAAGCGTGCCTGCAGTGTGGCATGTGCACATTCGCGAGTAGGCGGGTGGGTGAGTAGGGGAGTGAAGTTGACATGCTTAAAGCCCCTCCTGGAGCTTCGCCTGTTGGAATCCCTTAAACTGCAATTCGGGCCACCATCATCAAACCTGGAAGGGCTGCACCCAAGACTCGCGCCCAAGACGCTTCACGTGTAAGAATGCCTGCATACAACGAAGAAAGACATCGACGGTGACGACACGACGACAACTACAACAATGACGACACATGACGACGCGACCACGACCATGAACACGATCAAATTATTCAATCACTGTCTCAAGTGATACAGTAGGTAGGATCATTCAAATCATTGGGAGCCACAGCAAAAGCAGCCGATGATGACTTCGTGGAGGCTCGGCCACAGCGTCTAATTGTTTACCAGCAAGGCATGCGTCGCTTCGGGGTGGTTCTGTAGGCTTCCAGGATCCGGCGCAGTTTCGGAACTGCTGCCCATGGTGCATCGGCAGGGGTGTCGGAAGCAGCCGAAACCACAGAAAGCGCCAGGGAAACTGGCAGATTGTGTGGCGACAAGTTGTCAGAGGCGTCGAAAGCTGCATTGAGCTCGGGCTCCTTTACTCTTATAGGTTGGTGGCACCAGTGAAAGATGAGCATCCTTGAAAAGGAACCCTCCCAACCGACATCTCCAATCACAACCTCATTCGTGTCATTTAGGACGGAGCCCCGGATCTGCACCACGTCGCTTGGCAAGAAACTGACTGTCATACTCTCGGCAGGGAGTCCCAAAAACAGATGCAGACCTCGCTGGTCTATCTCCAGGGGATTCTCGTAGTACCAGGCCACAAACTGGGACATCCACAAGGCCGTCGTAGCTGAAGCACGGAGATGGAACACGCCAATGTTGATGCAGTCTGCATCGGCATGGCGGGCAAAGAGCGCATCCCACCCTTCGGCTGAAGACAATATGCGCCTAGTCGGGTCTCGCAGCCAGAAGGTGTCCATGTCCGTGTAAATTACATCGATGCCAAGATGCAGCAGTGCATGGATACAAGTAAACCGGTGGACCTGAGAACGGGTATCTGGCATCCAGCAAATCACAGGTATGTGAGCATCCGATGGGTCTCCAGCTGACTGCTCCCGGCATGCACTGGCGGCATCTTCCCCGATAGCAATTACAATCAGAGGATACACAACATGCAGCGAGGACAGATGTCGCACTAGCCGCTCCAAGAGGTAAGCCCAAGCTCCGCCATACCTCGGTCTATGCTGGAACGGTCTCGAAGACAAAGCTTACCAAAGTCGGCAGGATCTTCGGCTAAATATGCCTATGTGAGACACACTTCCGTGAATGCACGTATTTATTCATGTGTGTACCTGCTACATGCGCTTCTTCAGTCCAAGGAGTCATACCCCCACCCACATTCAAAGCTGGAACATACGGACATACGGCATACCAGCTTTGGCACGGCTTCGTCTTACTGCTGGATGTCGCAAGCATCGTTTCGTTTGTGAAAGCATCCAAGCCACAGCAAAACCACATACGCCAGCCTGCGTGCTAGCCCTCTCCTTTCCGACACAGCTGCCACGGCCTGCGCTGCGTGGATCAAGCTCCGGACGATTGGCCTGAAAGGTCCCCATTGGTCTTCGCGACGGTTTGACTCTGCGCGAAGGGCCTCTGCATAGCCACTATGATCCATGCTGACCAAGTTTTCTACCTGCTTGGAAGCCGTTGCAGCCCAGTCTGGTGACAGGAATTCATCATGGGGAGACACCAAAGGGGACAGTTCGTCATTTCTCAGGTTCCAGTCGCTATACAAGCGCTTGTACTTGCGATCGCCGGGCCTGAACCACAACCCTTTGTTCATGTCATAGAACAAGTCCATAACATGCCAAACAGGCCAAGGTGAGCAGGACATGTCATGAAAAGGAACGTTCCAAAGCGCATGATTTGTCATCGACACGTAGGATGGCACGTCCCGTGTCATGGATAAAGCACCAGATATGCTTACGAGTCCAACCGACAAAAGAAAGAAATAGCCCACGGGGCACTCATCAAATCCTCTAGTTGGGCTTTTGGAAACCGCATCCGCGCAGTCCAGGACGTCTGGCACCAATGCGTCTATCGCGGAGCTTCGCTCTAGAGATTCATCCATGTATACCAAATTAAAGTATTCTCGACCGAGCCGTCTGCACTCGACCCAGTCTATCAAACCCTCTGTGAGGTTGTCGCATGTCAACAAAGGATAATCGGTGTAGTAGAACTTGGAGAAATGTGCCAGAATTGAAAAGATGGGCCACCTTGTAAGGCCCAGGACCAGCGTAGCATAGCTTTTGAGGAGGCCTTGGATCAGATCTTGTACACTTTCGTCCCAGTAGCCTTGACGGGCCTTCTCGTAGAAGTACAATATGAGCAGGCACAGAGACCCAAGTGGGCATTCCTCGCGAGATCGTTCAGGAATGGAGTAGGATCTGGGCATATCTGTCTCGAGATCTGTCTCGACCACCAAGTACTCCAAGCCGCTTGGAAAGGAGAAATTCGTTTCGACTGGCTTTTCAGATAAATTTGCTCGGACACGCTCGTACACTTTGTTCCAGTCGATGATGCTTCGAGCTCGCGAGCTCACTACAGCACAGTCGTAGTCCATGAAAGGTGTGCCCGAGGCTTGCGGCCAGCACAGGAGGCTTGCAAACCATGCCAGCCACATGTCGGAACTGTTCCAACGCGTTTCGGATCCCGCCAGGCTCAGAAGCTAAGAAAAAAAGGCTCTCGCACCTCCAGCCCTGAAGTCACCTAAACATCGCAAGGCATCACAGGCAATCCAACCGAACCCCAAAGTTGCATCAGGAATTCGAAAACCTTAAACCCTAAACCCAAAACCCGGTTTACGCTCTCACAACTCGGACATGCCAGGCGAGGTCAATGGTACGTGGTCGGCGTGAGACAGGAAGCAAGGACCCCTAGCTGCATACCAACCCGGTTTAGGGTTTGGGGTTTAGGCTTGTGGGTTTTGGGTTTAAGATTTTGGGTTTACGCTCTCACAACTCGGACAAGCCAGGCGAGGTTCATGGTGCGAAGTCGACGTGAAAGAAACTTTTGTTGCAGACCGTGCCTACTCCATAATGACGTATCCACTAGATACGGTTTTCCTATTAGAAAGTGGTTGCCTATTAAACAATGCTTTCCCGTGAACCTTACCTGTTACACAAAGGGTTTGCTATGACACAACGGTTTAGGAAGTTACTTAAAGTGGATTGGATTGGCTAGGGTTGGTTTAACTTTGCTTGGTTTGATAGTAATATAGCGATGTGTTTATGATCGAATGTAAAGATAAGGGAAATCTGTGTAAATATATTAATATACATACATATCTATGTAGTTTTTGTTACGTCTGTGTAGGTATGTATGTATATTATATATATATAAACGTAACTGCATGTTGCATGTATACATGTACACAGATGGTAAAGTCCCGCATGTATGCATGTACTGATACACTGGCCGTATGTTACTATGTCATATGTGAACCGTACATATGTACGTGCACGATCTTTCTTTCTTTCTATCTCTGTTTCAGCATAGCTATATACCCAAATATACATACATTTTCACATACATACATAATTATTGCGCATCTGCCTAAGTACAACGTGTGTGTAGCAATACATACAGACCTACTTATCTACAAAATCGATCCGTCTGTCTACTTACCTACCTACCTACCTATCTATCTAACTATCTGTCGATCTATCCCTTCTGAGGTTAGCCGGCTAGCCACGCCTTTTTGCGATGTTGGGGGTTGAGGGTTTCCAGAACGAGTCATTCCTTTTCGAGCCTAAGCTTTTGTGGCTTTGGGTTTACCACCCATTTTCCCCTTTTAGCGGATATGGCCTCACATTTTCGCAGCAATTACAGAGTGCCATCCGACCTTGCGTGCGAAGCCGTTGAATTACCAGTGCATCTGCCTAGATTAGAACAGATATGCAGCAATCTATATGCATATATCGCCACAGGTTTCACTCGCATGGTAGGCCGGGCGGCACCCCGTATTTGCTATGAAAACGTGAGGCCAGATCCTAAACAAGCCATGGAAGTCTAAACGTCAAAAAAAAGACTGATTCCGAAAAACCCTAAGCCGCCAAGACTCAAAAGA